GGAGATGCTGTTGGAAATGCGACTTTCGCGGCAGTGTGCTGGCGAACTTTGCGCGACTGCGTTACACTGAGACATGAGGGATATCATCTGCTCCGAGCTCCACTCATCTCAACTCCAGCCTCTTGTAACTACCCCTCTCGAGACTAGTATCCTTAGTTTGTGTTTCGGGCGTAGCAGTCCCAGGCCACGCTGGAGCGCTGCCTCTTTCTACTGCCGCCTTCATCTCCGTCAGGCAGGTCCTCCTCGCCAACGAGGTCTCAAGAGCCAGTCTATGACTACCGTGCATCTGCCTCCAGTTGGGCCAGCTGATGCACGATATTGGTGCATGTTGGCAGTGGTGCAGAGGTGGACAGTGGTGCAGAGGTGGACAGTGGTGCATCAGATAATTATAATTGTCGTCTCTCTTCGCTGTCTCCTTCGTCGAACTACCCTCTCATCCACCATAGTCTTATGACTCGTTAGACCACCCTCACCTCACCACCCTCACATCACCACCCTCACCACGTCAGGTGCCTCGTCTTCTCGCCAGTTCGTCGCATTGATTTAAGATGAGCGGCAGGGATAGCCTGGCCTGCCACTTCATTACGTGCTCCTCTGCTGTCGCCCTCCCTCGGCGTCTTGCCACTAATTGCCTTATTAGTGATCCAGCACGCTGTGCATTACCTGCTTTTTTGAACCTATTGTATTGTGATATTAATGTTTCAGACGTGTTACCACCCATATTTAAAATCCGCAGTTATATTCTATTCTATTTGAAATATCCTATTCCACTTTACTAACGAATTTTTTGTAAGGATTTTTGGCGGTATCCCCGACTGTGATAACATTGAAACGTTATTCCGGGTTTGCGTACATGGGCTTGTATCTGAATTTAATTACCGTTTAATTCAACATCAAGTTGTGATCGATTTTTGTATGGTCTACCTAGGCAGGACTTTGACTGCTCACTGCCGGCGTTTTAGACGAGGTTTATAAGAGGCCACGTCACGCCCGTTGAGCTGAGTCAGCAATTTACCACCGCCGGGAGAAACAATGCAGTTCGTCAAGATCACAATGAACCATTCATTGATCCTTCTTCAAATCTGATACCAATTTCTTAAGGACTTCTTAGGGGGCGTAAGAGTGTCATAATTCCGGCTGGTGATAATTTTTTAGAAATAAAAAATAAATAAATGTATCTATAGAAAATAAAGGCATTAATTGAAGACCAGATTTTTATTTAATTGAAGATTTTTTCACGTAGAAATACTTCAATGTTATATTATATTTTGCGTTGTTATTTTTCCATATAGTCTTCTGGAATTAATGTAAGTAAAAAACCGAACATGATTAAATAATCCGACTGCTTTGATCTCCAAACAGACGATCAGCTCACGGCTTAAACGTTTTAATGTATTTCTTCTTTCCTAAACTCGGTAATACTGCAGAATATATTGCCCTCATCCTAACGACGACCAGCAAGACCACCTGCCGTTGAGTCCTCTCAGCCACCTGTCATAAGTTAGTAATCTGAATTCACATTGGGAACCACCTGTTGATGAAGCCAACTGTTGCAACGTACATAAGTCCTTGTCGCCCTCGCATTTGAAATGTCAATTACCATAGGGTTGACGTTCCTGTGCCGGATTGCGTCCATTCCAGCACGGTGCCGACAGCATAAATCATTTAATACTTCAACTTTGTTCATCTCCATTTACAACAAGATTATATTTTATTCTCTTCTCCTATATTTCTTCCTGTTAGGTGAAATTGCTGACAATTTTAGTTAGTTTGAGCCGCGGAAATAATTCGTCTTTGGCAAGATATATACGTGCTTGGCGTTGCGATGAGATGAAGCCTGTGCGACGTCTCCAGAGATTGGCTCTCTGAGTTACCAGGCGGAACTCGAGTTTCGTGCTGCTGGAGAATTGCCCAGTCAAAAATCATGCGCGTTTTAACGGCGATCTGCGCGTGGTGCGTAATGTGCATGAATTGTCGACCTGTCGCAAGGGAAGGATTCATGTTATTGCCGAATTCTAGTGACTCGGCGTTCTGAAACTTTAGTTATGAATTTATTAACTTTATTTTCTTATTCATCGTGGCTGATAAAAAGGCAATTCTGGGCACCTCCTGCAAAGCGTTTACAACGAAACTGTTCTGCATATACAGCGATTGCTTAGTGTTTATTTTCCAGTTGTGTTTTTCCATTTCCAAAGAGGCTTTACTGTTTAATTCCAGTATACATCCTCGCATAAAAACAGTGCGAAGGGAAAATAAAACAGGCTGATGCAGTCAGACTCCAAATAAAGTGCAATCGTGACGAGCTTACCAGTCCTGATTTCAGGGAGCGACTGCAGACTCGAGGCAGAGCTGACGTCGTCGGCGGCCGAGTTGTCGGTTGTCAAGGCCTGCTGCCGCTTTGTTAATGTTCGCGGCCTGCGACCGTATAGTGTCGGTTTTCAAGGCCTACGGCGTTTTTGTTGATTTTCATGTCCTACGGCCCTATATTGGGTGTCAAGTAATACGGCAAAATTTTCGGTGTCAAGTAATACTACAGTATATTGTCGGATGTCGACGCCTACGGCCGTATATTTTCGGATGCCAAGGCCTTGTATATTGTGATCTCTGCAGCAAAATGGTATCAATCTAGTGGAGCTGTTATCCCGCAGGTCGCGGTTTTTGTCCCGCAGGTCGCGGTTGTTGTCCCGCAAGCCGCGGTTTTTGTCCCGCAAGTCGCGGTTGTTGTCCCGCAAGTCGCGGTTGTTGTCCCGCAGGTCGCGGTTATTGTCCCGCAGGTCGCGGTTGTTGTCCCGCAAGCCGCGGTTGTTGTCCCGCAAGCCGCGGTTGTTGTCCCGCAAGCCGCGGTTGTTGTCCCGCAAGCCGCGGTTGTTGTCCCGCAAGCCGCGGTTGTTGTCCCGCAAGCCGCGGTTGTTGTCCCGCAAGCCGCGGTTGTTGTCCCGCAAGCCGCGGTTGTTGTCCCGCAAGCCGCGGTTGTTGTCCCGCAAGCCGCGGTTGTTGTCCCGCAAGCCGCGGTTGTTGTCCCGCAAGCCGCGGTTGTTGTCCCGCAAGCCGCGGTTGTTGTCCCGCAAGCCGCGGCTGATGTCCTGTTATCCAACAGATCGCTGCTGCTGTCGCTGTTATCCCGCGTGGCGCAGCGCCCCTTTAACATGACCGCGTGGTCAACGTCCGCCATATGGACCACACAATTGCCTCGGTCATCTCATTTGGATTGCGAGCTGCACGGCGTTTTAATTGTTGTTTTCCACGTGCCCTTACGTTAGCAATTCAGATGAATTAATTTAATTGTTAATACTTTTTCTCTCACACTTCCAATATTTTATTGTTTCTATAGCTGTTTTTCTATATTGCTTCTACGGCTGTTCTGAAAACTTATATTTTTTCGAAAAGGTTACCGGATTATCTCCATTACATTCTGGCCTCCCCGAAATACATTTATATAAATGTATATATCTTTTTTTGTCTATTCTATTCATGTCTGACCAACTTAAATATGTATTTTTCTTGCCTGCAGAGAATGCGTCCGGGACACAAGAATATGAGTTGTATTTATTTATGCTGCAATTACTCCCGCTTATGAGCGCAGGTCTTGTCATATTACAGCGTCCGTCCTGACGGCTAACGAAACATGGCGGGCGGCCTCCGCAGATTTATGAAGGCATTTCCCAAGCGCATTTATCGCCTCCGAAATGAGACCAGCCCCGACCGACACAGCGCATCCTATTTTTTGGTCGCCCGCGATAGCTCGAGTGTCGCAGACTCTCTTGACTCTAAATTTGTTTGTTTATTTTTTGTGCGTTGGATTTTTTAATCAAACGACCAGCGACAGATAATGGCTTCCGAAAAAGTCGAGGCAGACAAATGTTGAAACTTTCTTACGCTGTTGTCTTGCTTAATTGAAATTCACTGCCTATTGACGTGATGAAGACTCATTATTATTTTTGACAGATTGAACGGATTGTGCCTATTGTCATCGTTGTTAAATCCATCTTTTTGAACTATCCTATTGAAAATCCATTTTGATGTGAAAATTTTCAGCGGCCGCATAAAATTCTTCATCTGTTATCTTAACTTCTGGTTGAATGGAGCCGCTTTCGAAGGCCAGAGCCGTCGCTCAAGCCGTAAGTGGGAGCCGATGGCCCGCTTGCCTTATCATTCGCGAGTGCTGGCTTCTCTGATACAACGGAACCGACACTACTAACGACACTATACATGTTCGATGTTTGTACGTAAATACAGCCCCAATACGCGACACTGGTAAGTGATGAATTCTTGTGGCCAACAACATATTACTTGGCGTTTTCTGCTCTTTGTGGTTTTTGCAGGCGTCCGAATTGATGTGTTTCTGACAGTTTGTTGAGCTATGGCAGCATGTGGATATGCTTGAGAATTTTTCAACACGTGTTGGCAACTAGTCCGACCTTCACCATCCGCGATGAGCACTCAAGCTTGCAATCGCTCGGAGCTGCCGCAGTTACGCTGCTCCTGTAATAGTGTCGTTAAAATGTAATTTACGGCAGACGCCCTAGGAAGGCCATTTGCAACATCGATTAAAGTCGTCATGGGGCTGTAAAGAGCTATTTTTATATCAAATTGTGCCATTTGACCGAATAAATGATTTAACAAATAAATTGAGCGTGTCGTGTGTAAATGATGCTGGCAAATCTTGTGTAATTTGCGCGACAGCATTCAGTTCAAGAGTGTCATGCTGACAGTCAAATTAAACTCTGGAAAATGTTAGCATGATATATGGGTTGTGTTTATAAAAATTAATTTAAGAGTTACATTCATGACAGACACTTGTTGAGATGCTTAACCATTGTTGATCGATGGAAACCTATTCATTGCATCATTGAGTTGAAGTAATCAAATGGTATACAGAGTTAACCCTTTGAGTGTGTCGAAGCTGTATGCCATTAGAGGCCTTTTTAACCTTTGCAAATGATCTATCACATACGTATATGCGCTTATGCTAATAACCTTCATGTTTTTGTGTCCCGCAGATGTACCCGGACCGAGACATTACCAACATCGTAGAGTCGTCCCACTACGTTCAAGTCCCGAATTTCTGTCGCGTTGGACATAACAAATGCAAATTTTCTTCATGGGTCAAGCCCTACCGCTGTCTCGGTAAGTCTTAATTACACGTGCCTGCGGACTGCTTCTCTGTACGGCCACACAAGGCGGGACTAATGTGGCAAATCCATCGTCTGCAAATTGCATGCATTTACCCTTTAGTGTCACTGATCGAGGGGCTGTAGAGTTGTGGATTATCGAGCGTAGGGCGATTTATTTGTAAATTTATTCTCACTCCGATCAAAAAAGAAGCCAAGCAAATTCAATTCAATGCGTAATGATTAAATAAAAAGAATAATATCATAATTTGCAAATAGATTAAATAAAAAATGTTTTCGCTCCCAAATAGGTATATTTTGAGTGTTTTCTTTTTGTGATATTGGGATTTTGCATTGTTACATGTGTTCGTTTTCTTCCGTTGTCTTTGTACAGCGCTCCCACCAATGAAGTTTAAAGAATTATGTCTACGAAATATTATTTTTATGGGGAAATCGTAAGAAATGTCTCTAATTATCAATAAGTATTAAGATGGTATTGAATTCCAGTGCCGTGTTTCCTTTTGTCAGAAGCCCTAAAGGCGATTGGGCTAATTAAGTATATATATATACTATATTTGAAAGTCTAAACTCAAATCCGCATCTGACGTGTCGGTGCTGTTTCGATCGAAGCGTTAGATGCACTTTATATTTTTGCAATCAAATTAAATAAAATCGACGCTTATATTAAAAAAAAATTCTGGTTCCAAATTTTTTTTATTGTCGCCGACGAGGTGCTGCGTGGTCATCAGGCTCATCCTGTACATAAACCTGATGCTTTAATTATGACGTGAATTTATCAGCCAATCACTGTTTTACAATTAAACTTACAATGCTTATGAAGTTTTTACCACGATTTTTAACCCCACATTTTGTATCGTCGAACTTGCGATATTCGGTTTTGTTCTTTTATTAGGTGTTGTTTATACGGTTTTCTCTTAATAAAATACTGTCTATCCTCCTTTGAAAATAATAGACGGAATAATTGAATAATACCTCCTTTGAAAATTATTTTACTTCTTTTGTCGGCACATTTCGAGTTGATCAGTGGCCACCTATATGCCGACCAAGTTTCGACCAAGACTACTTGTAGGCTATCGAAAAAAATGCCGTCGCTATCGGGATAAATCGGCCTTAAAAGAACCAGGAAGCAATTAGTTGGAGTACCGGCGCCCTGTTTCTTGTGTATTGAAGAGGGAGATAAAACATGCGGATGGCGATAAAGAAAGTTCATGTGAAAGGAAGCTCCTAATTTTTATTATTGCAAGGAAAAAAATTATATTTCAATAGGTGCGAAAGCTACCTCAGGGATCAAAATTAATTATAACTAATTAAATTGTTGAACCGGATCGAAAACGAAGCAAGAACGAAATTAAAATTAATGTTTCGATTCTAACTGTACATCAATAATCATTTATACATTTGAATATTGTCAATCTTATATGCTGAACAAATTTGCTTTTCTGGCTTACTTTCTTCCTCGATGAAAGAAGTTACCCGCTGTTATGGGAAAGAGAAATTTGCGTAATCAGTGAACTTTTGAAGTTAAAATGGGTCGAATTGCTTGACTAAAGTTCAATTTTTCGTATGGCAATAACCACGTAGCACATGGTAGTTATTTTTGATTAATCGGTTTAAATTAAGCCAGAAATACAAATACTATAACCCAATGACTCCATTCCTCGAAATATGTTTTTTATTCAATTAAAAAAACCCTTACCTACTGAATTAATGAATATTTTTCAATGACATTAGGCTCGTATTAATCATTATTGAATTAATGAATATTTTTCAGTGACACTTACTATGCTGATATTAATTTCTAGAAAGATATTGACTGTCATTTTTTTTCATAAGTAATATTTGTGCGTTGCAGAAGGACAGTTCCAGTCAGACGCGCTGCTGGTACCAGAAGGTTGCATGTTTGACCACATCCACAACCAGTCTCGCTGCTGGCAGTTTGACCGCTGGAACACAACTGCTGACGAGGCCTGCAAAGCCCGAAAGCCTTCGCTTCATCTCATGTCTTTTGCGATGCTCCTGCCCTGTGGCATCGACGTCTTCTCCGGCGTAGAGTTCGTCTGCTGCCCCAAGACTTACAAAGGTCTTGTCCTGATTCTTTTTAGCCCATTTTCTCATTTATGGAAAAAATAGCGCTATTGTGCTCGCCATGTCCGTCCGTCTGTCTGTCTGTCCGTCCGTCCGTGACTTCACGTTTTCGTCGACGAGAAAATGCGCTCTCTGTCATTCACTGCAGTGACTACTGAGTTATATATATTTTTTTATTTCACGAGTAGACTTCTCTGCGTTGACGAATTACGGTAAAAGGATATTTTTTGAAAGTCTGATGTTCTTCATGCAAAATCCGCTCATTCAACGCCATTACGACAGTAGTCTCGCTCACATCGGTTATTTTGTGCCCCCACATGAATGGGTCAAAAGTGAGGATTCTAAGTAGAAGAAATTTATTTTCCACCACTGGAAAATAATGACGATGTCAATCAATGGGTTTTGTAGTCTGGGACTAATATTCCATACGCGTACTATATAATAGACCTAACACACCTGTTATATATTTAAAAAGTTGAGCGCTAAAAGTAGACGTATTAAGCGAGAAAAGAAAGACGTATTGAGCGAGAAAAAATCTAACTCAGTACTCACTGCAGTGAGTGATAGATGCTCCTTAAGCCAGAAATACAAATACTATAACTCGTCGACGTATAAATACGCATTTTCTCGTCGACGAAAACATGAAGTCACGGACAGACAGACAGACAGACAGACATGACGAGCACAATAGGGCATTTTTTCCATAAATTAGAAAATGCAATAAAAAAAAAGGTATTGAGCGTTGAAAATCGACTTATTGAGCAATGAAAATTGACGCATTGAGCAATGAAAAAAGTCGCATTGAGCGTTGGAACATGACATTTTTAGCGACGAAAATTGACGTATTGAGCGCCGAAAACTGACTAATTGAGCGATAAAAAAACACGGATTTGGTGATAAAAATAGGCGTATTGAGCGATAAAAATACACGTATTTAGCGATGAAAATAGACGTATTGAGCGAGCATGACTGAGGGAAGACGTGCATATGTCACGCAGGTCGCGCCCAGGCTCGGTCTCAGCAGCTGGAGGAGCCTCTGGCGCTCCCCTCCCTGGACCACCGCGCCCCTCCCGCCCCTCCTGCTGACGCCAGCCCCACCTCGTCCAGCTCCCCCTCCTCTGCCCACTCCATGCCCACCACGGCCCCTCAGGTGGGTCACATTGCCATGATGTTTCACCTTTCCATTTCTATGAAATTTTCTACATCAATCATCACGCGAGTCGGCTCATTAATGGCCTTGATATGGCAATTGTGATATCATCACAATGTTGAAGCTCCAAGTGCTGTACTTACGAAACTTGCTTTAGTGGACGTAGCTGCCGATTTCTTGTCTGTGATTGGTGAGTTTAGATAGAAAAGCCCTTCAGTAATTGGCTGGCGCAATAAAAAAACTCTTATAACTATTTTTAAAAGTACGGAGCCTGTTCTATATCTCCCGTTCCCTTCACGCCTGATTCAAGTTGTTCGCTGATAAAATTATCCTAGTCTCCCTCGCGTGTCTCGTCTTCGGATGATTTTTTGAATCTTTTCTTCTTTTGAGCTCACTTTTCTGCCGCTGCTGATACGAGGAGACGGAACTTTTTTTTAGCTCTATTTCAGACATTAAAAAACTTCATTTTGTTCGCTAGCGAACAGAGCTGAAATAACAAACGTGTCTGCTTCACTCACGTGTATCCAGAGTCATCTGCTGATTGAGGATTCCTTGCAACAGTCACCAGGAATGTATTGCCATGTGAAGAGTATTCTATTGTTTTTTTTTATATATTGTTGCGAAAATTTTGTGCTGAACTGGATATGAATGTGTTCTAGTCCGGCATTCAAATAAGAAATGATTCACAGCGTCTAGATGAATGAACGTGTATCGTATAGCTTGTGAGCCTTGTGTGATGCTCAAAGATCTCACTTGGCGCTGGCAACATACGCAGGTTCGTACACTTGGTTTTTACGCGTATAGGTATTTTTAATGCGATTATGTACAGTTGCAATTTGTTCTCTTATAGTCCTCGCCAGCTCGTCTCTAAAGCATTAATACATAAAACCTTGGAATGTTCATAACCTAGAGTACGTAAGTTTCTAAACCTAAATTGAATACCTATAATGAATCATTACTGGGAGATTTCATTTGTTTGCATTTTTTGAATTTGCAAGATCTATTTTATGTTCGATATTTTGGGCATCCAGTAATTGGTGAGCTCTAAAATTCCTATCCAATACGTTTTCGTAGCTAGTATATCGCCTGTGGCTCTTCTTGCGATTCAGAATAGATTCTTGCAAATTTGACGAATAATAAATTCGTTGCTCAATTTCCGAGGAGCTTATGAAATTGAAGTGGATAAAAGATATAGCTAGTGTAAATCCGTTATATATAGTTGACGACTTACTAATTATTATATTGCGTTCTATTTGAGTCAGATCAAGCAGAAAATTGAATTACTTGCGAACGCCGGGATTGCGAACTGAGGCCATGCAGGTAGATCCTTTACTGAGTAGTAGATCGCACTCCATGCCCACCACGGCCCCTCAGGTGGGTCACATTGCCATGATGTTTCACCTTTCCATTTCTATGAAATTTTCTACATCTATCATCACGCGAGTCGGCTCATCAATGGCCTTGATGTGGCAGTTGTGATTGACGGTCATTAGATTGCGTACTTGTGTAACCCAAGATTCAACAACTACTATGACTAAATTGCGATTGGAATTTTAGTGATGGATTTTAATCGGTTTATTTCTTAAGACAACAAGCAAGGGACTAAATTTATCGTTTCCCCGCGTGTCTTCCCCAGGAGGTAGGCACCCGTGACTCTTACTTCAGCCGCTTCGACCCCCATGAGGAACACGACGCCTTCAGGAAGGCCGAGCAGCGCCTCGAGGAGCGACACCGCGACAAGGTCTCCAAGGTGGGCCGCTTGGTGGCGAGCTGTGGACGTGTTGGGGACGAACATGTAGCGTCTTGATGATGGACATGTAGCGTCTTGATGATGGACATGTAGCGTCTTGATGATGGACATGTAGCGTGTTGATGACGTGTTGGGGATGAGCATGTAGCGTCTTGATGATGGCACGTAGCGTCTTGATGATGGACATTACCAACACGTCTTGTTGACGTGTTGGTAATGGACATGTAGCGTGTTGGTTAAAAACGTGCAGCGTGCATGCTCATGGACATGTTTCGTGTTGGTGACGGTTGGTGATGGACGTGTAGCGTGTTGGTGATGAGCGTTTAGCGTGCTGATAATACGTTTCTTATAAACGTTGAGCATGTTTGTGACATTTTAGTTATTAACATTTAACGTCTTGTTCATACATTTCATTTAAACTCATGTACATAATCGTGAAATGGTTCTGGATAGTTATGAACATTTGCCACGTTGACGTAACGCTAAGAGTGTCTATAATTGCGCAAAATGACGCTTGAGCAATGAACATGCAACATGTTGGTGACATGGCGGTTGATCTTACGGTTACATTTGTGTTAACCATTTACTTGTGCATGTCAATGACGTGTACATATCAGTTGCGAGTACCTAGCAATTACGTGTACTTACCACCGTGACGGCCATTAGATTGCGTGCAGTCACTGCAGCAAGTTCCTGGCTGCGTGTAGCGACTGCCATGAATAAATGACGGCTTGGTTAACGGCGCTGGCGTGGCCGGGCTACTTCCGTAATTCGAGTCCCAAAAGTTATCTAGTTAACGACTAACTTTGCCTCCCCTCACTTGCCCTCACTCTCTTCCTTCCCTGCCTGCGCATCCCTCTTACGTTATTCCCTTCCAGGCGCAATGGAATTAATTTACAAGATGCACCTCAAAACTGAACTTCCTGAGTCATGTTAATGGGCTGTGGAGCTGCGAGTACAGTGGCCCGCAGTCCCATGATATTCTTAGGGTTTAGTAGCCCGCAGTCCCATGATATTCTTACGGGTCTGGCCCGCAGTCCGATGATATTCTTACGCGTCCAGTGGCCCGCAGTCCCATGATATTCTTACTCGTCCAGTGGCCCGCAGTCCGATGATATTCTTACGCGTCCAGTGGCCCGCAGTCCCATGATATTCTTACTCGTCCAGTGGCCCGCAGTCCGATGATATTCTTACTCGTCCAGTGGCCCGCAGTCCCATTATACATGACGCGCAGCAACATTAGTTACACTAAGAAGGATCTCTGCCGGCAGATCCTGAAGGAATGGAGTGAGCTCGAGGTGCGTTACCAGGAGCTGAAGAAGAGCGACCCACACGGGGCGGACCAGTTCAAGGAACGGATGACTCATCGCTTCCAGGTGAGTCTTGTTTAACAGCGTGGCTTGCTGCCTTACTTGACTTGTTTTTCTCTACTCTTACTCAGTTACAAATTAATTTTTTCTCCGCTTTACAAGTATGCTACCGTTTTTCTCCAGTTTCTCCTTACATTTCGATGTAACTTCAAAAAAATTATCCATTTTTTTCTTCACTTCCACATTTCTTCGAAATTCCTTCTTCTTCCATCACTTTTTATAGTTTTATCTAAGTTAATAATATTTTCCAATTTATTTCTGGTTGTGCATTGCAATATTTTCGGCCTCATCGTCTATTTTTCATATCGTTTTGATTTTACAATTTCTTATAGGTAGTCAAATTGGAACGTGGAAAATTCGCTATGGTGTTGCGCTGCGTTTGCTTCAAGGTTTGAAGTTTAAGTTTTTTGAAATATCAAGTTCACACAATATACCTAGTATGAACACAAGTGCACACACAAATACCCCAGTATAGTTCACACAAGTTCACGCACATATACCCCTGTATAGTTCACACAATATCACACTGAGTCCACGTGGTCCCAAGTTTTAACCAAGAATTGTTCACTTTTTACTCCCTAAAAAGTCGGGGCTCATGATGCGTTTCTAACTATAATTTATTAACTTCAATATTTCAAACTATTTAATCGGTAGGTCCTTTTAGTTCACTTTTGTTTTGAGAATTTAATGGTAATTTCATTTTCATAGGTTCTGAATTCAATTAATCATTAAAACCCTTACGTGCCTTACGTAAGCGTGCCTTTCTATTTTTGACATCACTGGAAGGTTAATGCAATAAATTGTGCACTCTGATCCAAAATTTTTGGCTGGGCATTCACTATTTCACATCCTTTCAATGGACTTGTCACTTGTAACCTCTTGCTTTTACTTGTTCTTATTCATTGTCATTGATCACAAATTAACAGCGCTATATGAATAAGTGTTCGCAATTACAACGGACGCAATTGATTTTTGTTGGACGCTTCTGTTTATTCTGGGAATCGTTGATCTTAATAACTATTTATTTATAATGTTTCTTCATAAATATATCAGTCTTTATTTCTTCCATAATCATAACATAACATAATATAATAATATAATCAAAATAGTATCATATAATCTGAGAGTATAAATGGAGTTGTTAAGACATGAATATTGTGCGTGCAGTCGACGGTGGACGCTGTGGAGGCCGAGAACGAGGCTGAGAAGCACCAGCTGTCGGCGCTGCACCAGCAACGCGTCGTGGCGCACATCAACGAGATGAAGCGCGAGGCCATGACCTGCTACACCCGCGCCCTCAGGGAGACCCAGCCAAATGTGCGTACTCTGGTGCATAATATCTACTGTGATAGTACCTATAAGATGAATAATTTACTGCATACATACTAGACACAGCATTAAAGGTGGCGATGACCTGCTACACCCGCGCCCTCAGGGAGACCCAGCCAAATGTGCGTACCTTGGTGCTGCTTATGGTGCCTAGTACGGTAGTACCTACCTATAAGATGAATAATTCACTGCATACATACTAGACACGGCATTAAAAATAGCGATTACCTGCTACACCCGCACCCTCAGGGAGACCCAGCCTAACGTGCGTACCTTGGTGCCGCTTATCGCCAGCCAACATTACTGAGGACTGAGGAGCATTAGACGCAATGCTATATGTTATGGATTCAACACACGTGTAAATGTGTCTGCAGAAGCTACCTGAAGCATTGCGTCTAATTCTCCTCAGTAAGGTTGGCTCCGCTATTTTGCACTGTTTTTTATTAATAGGCATCGTTGCTACTACTGCTTGACTGAAGAAGTGTCAAATACTATGTTCGTGCAGACCCACAAGGTGCAGAAGTGTCACATACTATGTTCGTGCAGACCCACAAGGTGCAGAAGTGTCACATACTGTGTTCGTGCAGACCCACAAGGTGCAGAAGTGCCTGCAGAAGTTGCTACGCGCGCTCAATAAGGACCGCCACCACACCGTGTCCCACTACAAGCATCTCCTCAACACCGACTTCAGGGCCGCTGAGCGCGAGCGTGACTCCACGCTACAGCATCTCAGCGACCTCGACCGCATGACTAACCAGGTGCTTCAAACGCTTTTTATATCAAATATATTGCATAATAGACGATATAAACTGGAGATACGAGATGATATTAAGGTATCTCATTGACCTCAATTGCGCTTCGAATCAGATGCTGCAGATGCTTTTAGCATTTCAAATGCGACGTCAAGACATGGTGAACTAAAATGATGGTGTTGCACAGAGCCTGCAGATGTTGCAGCGTCACCGTGAGCTGTACGAAAAGATGGGCCGCCTCATGCACGACTACGCCAACAGCCTGCGCAAGAAGGACACTACGCCTGCTGAACTCAGCCCTGACTCCTCTTTCCTGCTCTCACAGGAAGGTCGGTTTGTGGGGCTTTTTTTTTATTTTAAACCTTTATTCCCGGAGGGTGAACTTGTTGCGACAAATTTTGATATGAATATCAAAGAAATAGTTTTATCTAAACTTAGATTAAGAGATCACCTTATGCTACCTACCTGCGGTAACTCTTGTTACTATGTTTTTAGATACACTTGAGGAAAGAGTTTGTCATCTTGCGACGAGATTTTGTGACCAGATTTTCAGGTATAAATGGCATTGACGACGGGTAATGTATCTGAGAACTAAGGGTTGATGCATTGATAGTCTTATCGGGAACAGATCTCTTGCGAAATAAACAACAATACTTCGCAATTTATTGACAAGCTTTTTCGAATGCAGAAGAGAACGCAAGCAGCGAGACTCGCACCGACGACTACGAAGAAGACGATGCCGATGACGACGCAGAATATGACGATGCTGAGGAGGATCACAGCCAGGAGCCTGACGAGGTACAACTTCGTCTTGATATCTCTGGTGTAAAAACATCTCACGCCTACTTGAATAACGAGTTCATAGAATACGTGAATACCGAATAAAAAACTGTTTCAGCTCGGATTTTATCAGTGGAAAAACTAATGCTATTTGTTAAAAAATTGTCTTTAGGCTTTACGATACTTGAGCGCTAATTTGCGCAGAATTGACGAGTTTAATTCGAGTATCATTTAAACATTACCGTATATACTTGAAAAACATTAGAACCACGATCGAGGGGCGTGATTATACCAATGGGAGGATGAATTTACTAAAACTAAAGCGCGTTGTTGTAGTTTGTTTCGTTCCGTGCAGCAGCTTCCAAGCTTTTGATGTTGCTTGCACACCATGAGTCTTGCATTGCATTCTCAAAAATAATTTTCACCTTCGGGTTCATCAGAAATAATGTAAAAGAATCAACCTTAGTTTCAGAAAAGCGAGTGTAATTTTTTATTATTGTCACCCACAAATAACGCAGAGCGACGAAGTAAAGGCTGGAAGTGAAGAGCCTGTGGAGACGCCTGCTCCGTCCAGCACAGATACTCCTGCTCCTGCCTCCTCCACTGCCGTGCCAGCTCCCTCTGCAGGTACTCAGGTTGATTTACTTTCAAATGAGCGACCATTTTTCAAATTGATTTGGCCAGTAAATAATTGAAAATAGCTATCCATGGATGAATTAATTAACATTATTCCATTTGAATGCGTTTTCAATTTGGTCGATGATGGATGGAAACAAGACATAGGTACGTTATTTGGGATAAACAATTACATCTGTCTCATTGACTTCGTTAGAAGAAAAACAAACTTGAAGGAAAATGTGAATAACAGATGAGAAATATTCAGATAATTTATTTTTTACGAGCAGCAGTGTTTCCAAACTCTTCAGGAAAGAAATGAATTAATCTAGATCCATTGTAACCCTCAGTTTCGGGCGCAACGAAGCTAGAAGAACCCGAAGACGTTGCCGTTAGTTTCGGCCAGCCTCCGCACGTCGAGGTGTCCTCGTCCTCCTCATCGTCAGACGAGCAGCAGACGACCAAGGACAACAGCACCGCGGACGAGGCTGTCGCCGTGACTCATCATCAGGAGGCGCCCCTAGCGGCACATGCCCAACACCACGAGCTGGTGCACGAACAGACCGTGAGTGTTGCTGGTGCACGAACAGACCGTGAGTGTTGCTGGTGCACGAACAGACAGTGAGTGTTGCTGGTGCACGAATAGACCGTGAGTGTTGCTGGTGCACGTTGTGATAACTTAAAAGCTTAATGATTCTAGGTCTTATTAGCTTTTAAGAATTTTAGGTAATAACGAAATCGAAAAAAATAAGCATTGTATTTTTTGAAGTCTTCAATAAAAAATACGTAACTCGTCAAAGCTGGTTAATATTTAATTGTTTCATAACCTAAATAACTGCTGTGCAGGGCTACAGCGTGCGGACCGCCAGTGGCTCTCCAGCAGTGAGCGGCAGCGAGAGCCGCGGCGTGTACTTCACGCTGGCGTTCGCGGGTGTGGCGCTCATGGCGGCGATGGTCGTGGGCATCGTGGTGCTGCGCCGCCGCGCCGTGCGTCATCCTTCCCAGCAGGGCTTCATGGAGGTCGACCAGAACGCCACGGTCATCACGCCTGAGGAGCGACACGTTGCCAACATGCAGGTCAACGGCTACGAGAATCCCACCTACAAATTCTTCGAGGAGAAGTAAATGACGGTCGTAGAGAAGGGAACGGCCTAGGAGAGAAGTATGGCGGCGAGAAGTGTGATAGGCAAAGAAAGTCATATAGCAGTTGAGAAGTAAATGGTTGAAGGAAGATGGAACCTATCGTGGCATATGTGTGTAAAAATGTGTGCGAAATAGCGGGGTATCAAGTTGGGAATTGTCTGGGAAGGTCTGGAAGATGTAGGAGAAAAGATCATCGGTCAAGGAAAGAAAGATTTAGATCATCTGCGATACTGCTTCTTAGATTGCTCGTAAAATTCTTGAAGTTGTCTTCAAAGATTAGGCTTTCAGAGCAAGCTGGGATAAATAAGCTGTCTTAATTAGAACGAAATCGAAGACGATGTGTTTACAGGGCTTGAGTAATGCCCTTCTCGGAGATTCCATTTATTTTTGATCTCCACCCCAAAAATTTCAATCTATGTCTCTTGAGATTTGAGTGTTCTCTCGAAGAACAATTTAATGCCAGTTGAATGTATCGCAGTCGAGCTTGTCAGTCGTTGGTAATTTTCGAGAAAATTAAGGCGGGAGAGCGCCGTACGTTACCAATGTAGTCGCTTTTTGTGTTGCTTGTGTAGATTTGATCATTAGTTATTGAATAGTTATATGCACGGTTGGGAATTCCTCTGACTTGAATACTTGGCGGGGACAGAAATCATCCCCCCGCTCGAGCGTCTCCTCTCCTGGTCCTCAAGCGAGTACAAGCTTGACGCTACAGGACGATGACGACTGCAAATTTTATGTTTGGATGACTTCAGTCCATCGTAGTTAATGTGTCTATACTTATTATTATAAATACAAGAACTTAGCTGTGTAAGGCCATTCTATCACTAATATATAGGTTTTGTGTGATCATCAATAGAAATTAATTTGGCATGCACTCAACTCAAATTATTTTTGTTGACGCAATGTTACTCAATTTTCATTCTAACGCTGCTCTAATTAATTGAACTTATCTAAATCATTTATTCTGGCACCAAATCAGCTGAAATCCATTCTCATATACGTTTTAGAATAGAAACTTTTGGTGCTTTAAATTACTTGGAGAGTTTGAAACTATTGGCAGATTCTTATTGTATCTGAGATTTTGTTTCTTGTACTGTCTTTAATAAGATCTAGATGTGAATACCTAATTTTAATATTTCTATCTCATTCCTTATAAGCTCTGTGAGCATCTAGTTGCAAATCTCAAATATTGCATTCACAAATTTTTTTTAACTCTTCTATCTTCTCACAATATATATTTTTTTTTGTTTTCACGTATTGCAAAGCCAATTTTAGAGTCATGTACTCTCATTAATTTATATTATGTGAATTTATTATTGTGTCTCCTACAATTTGACACCACAAAATTTTACTGAGAAACTCAAAGCTTGACGAGTGCTAAGCTGTAGTTCTGTATCTGACCACAACTTCTGTTGAATGTTCTCCAAGCGGCAGCTGTATGTGAGTGTTAGCCTTTAACAATGATCTGTAGCATTTGTATATATCGCTGTTGACTTTGTTTCATCACTAGGCGCTTTCATGTCATCTGTTACATATCCTTACCTCTGCCTCACAAAACTTTCAAACCTGCTGGCCATCTTTTAAAACTGATTTAAAATACGACTAATCACAGCCGGTTGATTGTATTTCGCGACTTACTTTTCTCTCGGCCTTGAAAGTTTTTTTTTTTCGACGTTTGGACCATTAATCATAGCTGACTTAGTGCCATGCTGACTTTAATGATTTATTTGCTGCTCCTAAGGCGAGTATTTAGCCTCCCCTAGTCTTTCTAGAGCCCTCACCTGTTTAGTGACCTCCAGAAATATTTTCAGATGCGAGAGATTATAATTATCACCATAAAGATAGTATCTTTAGATCTTTAATGAAATTGTCCGTCTAAAGGATATTGTGATCACGCGCCCCAGTATCGTCTCTTTTGCCTGCCATCTTGTTTGGTAACTCGATGGTTTTTCGTATCCGAAATATTGGAATGTTACTATTGTATTTTGTTATTGTCACATCAGTGTGGAAGTTTTACCACTGCAGTACGTACTTAAGGAATCTATAAGTAAGAAATTTTGATGTTCGGCCGCTCTATCACTGCTGCTGCCGCCACCGTTGCCGCTTATCGTGTGCGCAATGTGAATTAATTGCTTCCTAAAACATTTACAATCTAACATCTGGTTAGAATGTATCGAGTTCAACCAAATCAGATAAATTCCTTTAATCATGAAATGGAATCAAGCAATCAGTTCAAATCATAGGTTTTTCAGATCATTGACGGTTTAGTTAATGTCTTAGGTTAAGGCCAATTTTATGTGTTTGTTTCGTGCCATGTGAACGGCATTAACATAATTCCTCATTTAGTCACATTCCTGATACTTTAGAGGGCGACTTTAGCCTTATTTGTCATGGGCTGTCATGGGCATGGCGCCACGCCGCGGCACTGAATACATTTTTATTATGATCAGGCTTCTATAAATAAGTACAGTCCCTCGGTTCAACAAGCTATTTCAATGGCATAAAAATGCTATTATTGAATATCTTAACTGAAAGATTATTAAATTGTTCATGAAACAACCTTTGACAAATAAGGTGAACTCGCCTATTGTAATAAGCTGACTATAAACCAGCGCATGCGTGAGCGTAGCGGGGCCTCGCCTTCTCTTGTGTACTTCTACCAAGTTTAGCTTAGAACTTCGCCTCAACTGCCTCCTCCAATCTTCGCTTTGCTCTGCATCTCATCTTAACACATTCAATCGGTCCATATTAAAAAAAAACATCTACTCTTACCTGCTATTGTAAACATGACCATAGTCACCGAATTCCTGCATTAATTTTTATTTCGAACTTATATTTCAGATGATTAGCACTGAAAACCACGCAGTAACATTTGGATCCTGATTTTAGCTTGTACTCATTAAAAAGAAATTTCACAGTAAATTTAGACCAAGTATGTCCATGAAAGTTAGCCATTGCTCTCGTTTCCTTCTGATAATATCGTATAGTCTATGTCTCCTGGCAATTACTGTATTCACTAGACTACTCCTACTATTGCTGCTGATACTACTACTAATGGCTCACAGGCTTATGAGACTAGCTCTGAATTGTAAACTAGATATAAAATACATGTCTTAACATTACCTGTATTATTTTATCCATGACAGAGTTATTTGAGAGTAGATTTTAATCACAGATGGTGAACAGAAACAGCACCTCTGTCCAAGACTCCGTTGCCAGGATCCACTTATGCCAATGAAACAAAAGGATAAGCTTAATTGTTCTTATGTTAATGTTCACGTATCAAGACACCAAATTAATAAAAAATACATAAGACACATGAACTGCATCAGGACACCGTCTAAGGCTTGGACATGAAATAATCTAAGCCCAGTCCTCCAAATAAATAACCTGTTGATCACAGAAACCAACATCCGGTCGTAGGCTTAGTGTTCAACTGCTTGAACGCTTCAAGTAAAAATAGCCTCTTATAATGTTAGCTTATACCTAGCAATTAAGCAGGGCAGACCAATTTTACTGCAACCCAATTTTCTAAGGACATGCAAGCCAATTTTAAAGAATATTTTGATATAAATGGAAGATAATATGTGACAAAACAGTTTGTTGGGGAGGACAATGCAGATCAGTCAGAAGCTTGTCAGCTGTTCCGTAGGTCTTCTTCATAGCCTTGTCCGAGTGTCTCAAGGGCTTTTATTTTCTTTGACGATGCAATCTTCTGGAATTCAATTTTCATAATTATGATGACTAAATAAATTAATATAGACAATTCTGGAAACAATTTTCTTTTTCTATTCTTGATCTTTAATTTCAAGGCTGGTGAGAAATTACACAGACTATTTTTAAATTCACTCAGGAATGCCACATTATTATCAAAAGGTATGGCAAATATACAAAAAGAGGGGTGCTAAGAAACTCTAATCTACTTCTTGAGTGGAGTGAAGACCAATATTTAATACGAACCAAATACTTCAACAGGAAATTCATCTCTCCAAGTAAAACTTACATGTAATTGAGAATTCTTTCAATGATAAATATGTTTCAGCAATAAATGAATAAGTTATTCACAACTAACCATTTGATTGAGGCGTCGCTTCACGAGTAAGTCAAAAAGCTCCATCACCGTCATCTCCTCTTCAGTTTTGTTGAGTTTAATGAAGTCGCACTCTCCTCTGCGACTGTGCTCTTCCCTTAAAATTGTTAATAGTAATTAAACCACATGGAGACTAATACTTCAAAATTTATTACATCTTTTAGCACAAGTTTCGTTCCTGCTGTATTTGAAAAAAACACTGAATGAATATTGAAATTAAATTTCAAAAATATTTCAAGTTATTGGATTGATACTAAATTTTCAAGTTATAAAACTCTACTATCAGAAAATAATGGTCAAAAACTTATACAGTATAATATCTCCACAGATGCTGAAATTTATCTGATTAGTCATGCAGGTGACTGGACATTAGACGGACATTAGGCTTAATTTGGGAATGTTCAAATGAATAAAAACAGCTGTCTGCAATCTGCATAACCAACCATGGGTCATCCTCCTCTTCCCATCCATCAAGCTCCTTGAGGCACACAAAACAACAGGCAAGGTCAGGCTCAGATTTACTGCCAGCAAAGTAAAAACCAGCTGCTGCCATCTGCAAAAAAAAAATCAATAAATTAAACTACTATACTAAATTCCAAGAAATATTTATCTTCATATAAATTATAACTTGCTGCATCTTGATGTGACTTAAGTTATGGGATAGCATATGAACAGTGTTATGGACACATTATTCCAGCAACCATAGACAAATTATTTACCATTGATGGCAATTATATATTTATTTAATTGCTATATTTAAGAACATTCTAATGAAGTAGAGCATCTCATTTGGACACCACAATGACCAGAGCTTGCACCTGAATATTATTGACAGGGTGCACAGTACCTACTGGTATTTAGAAAAAAATTCCATAACTTTTCCATGACTCTCCAATCTCCATGACCATCAATATAATTTTCCATGAATCGTATATGACAGGTTTAGCATTCATGACTGAAAGACTAAACATGCATATTCTATCTTACTATCATCTCCTACAGTTGATAAATAGCAAACATGTAAATGCATAGAGCAAGCAGACATAGAGTAACAAAAATGAGATATATCTGAAAATCAAGCCTAGACTGGTAATATTATGAATTCAATAGTGTCAACACAACAAATATTGAGTAATGCACACAAGATTATACATGATAATGTCAATACAGTTCAGAACACTCTTTGACACCACTGCCCTGACATTCAACTGGCAGCTATTTTATCAACTTTTCTTTAATGTTCAGTTCAAGAGTGTCTAGATTTATTTTCATAGATTGCCTCATGGCATTGAACTTTGCAATAACTTTCAAGTCCCCCCTTTCTCTGGATTGCTTCTGCGTATTCATCTGCTCAAGCTCCTGAAATGAAATCCAATGACTTTCCAGGCCTGGAAAATGAAAAATCAAATTCCATGACTTTCCAGGTTTTCCATGACCAGTATGCACCCTGAACAGTGAATGTAGGACAGTCTCAACTCATAATACTCATTGAGTCAACTTAGTCAAGTCAGTCAGGTGCATTGTGCATAAAATCAACAGGATTTAATATTCATGAATATGAATGAATAATTACTTACTTTTTCTTTAGTGCAGGCGCTTGGCAACTTGAAGGGCCAATTTTTAAAGGTTTTCAATCTATTTTTCTCAAAAAATAGGCTCAGTTCTTCACTTTTATCCATAATCACTGAGAATTAAAAGTGCTTACTTCAAACCTTCACAATCACACAATAATATTGATAAATACTGAAAAACAAAATGTAGCAACTAAATCTACACGACTAACACAAATGGCAATAAATTAAAAAAAGACAAACTACCAGCGAGCAAAGCAGCGACTAATTTGAAAAACTTCTGTCCTTTTACGGATTACAGTTAAAATGATTTTTTTTAAATTGCTTTTAAGACTTTGGGTATGAACAGATCACACCTCCCAGCCTGAGCACAACTGGGTTTCCTTGTACTATATTGCCACTCTGATTTAAAAGTAGATCTCTAAGGCCTCTCACCAGCCGGTGGGTGTTGTATGGAAGGAAGCACAAAAGAATTAGGCACTGGAAATTTTTCAAAGGTTGTTAACCATGTTGCATCCCAACAGGTACTGTCCAAGGCGACGAATTACTGCAGTTCTTCTTTTTTGAGGGATATCTTCTCCACCAAGAGCTGAGATGAGGTTCCAGGGAATCAAAAGATTCTCCAGAGCTGAGCAAAACTCCCTTTTCTGATCAGTGAAGAGTGAGCAGTACAAGATGAAGTGACTAATTGTCTTCCGCATTACACTCAGGGCATATACTGGAATTGGTTTGATTGAAATGGGCCATGTGAGCCCTTACACCAGCATGACCGAGACACAGACAGGCCACAGCACATTCAACCAAGCGAGGTAGTGGTCCATAATCCACATAAGTTACCATTCCTCCCAAGCTCAGCCTGAAGGTTCCTTTCCCTGACGACTGCACCTCCCCTGACTACCAAAGTGCCCAATATTCCAAAAATTTTGACTTCAACAAGCAGAGTCGCTCTCCAAAACACAAACTGGATCTTGCAAAACAATCATTTGAGTGTGCAAGGTTTGCAATTCTGTCAGCCACCTCATTACCATGGATGTTGGATGGAAACCCAGCATAAGTTTTTGAATTTGAGTGACGATTGAGCAATAGGAGCCATCCGATGGAGAAGACAAAAGCTGCAGTGCTGCTTGCAAATCAGTCAGTATCAGAATGGGCTTATTTTGCAGCAATACATTGGTTGTAGCAAGCTGCATGGCCTTGTATATTGCAAACAGCTCAGCCCCCAGCACAGTGTGCGCTGGATTCAACAGCCACCCAGTGGCCAAGCTGGTGGATGCCTGGATGGTAGATAAAGGCCAGCAGCAACCGATCCTGTAGCCGAACGCGATCCATCAGTATAAATCTGTACATGCTGAGGATAATGTTGTCTCCAAGTCTCTAAAGCAGTTTAGAGCAATTTCAGGAGCACACTGTTGACTGCAGAGCAGGGTTGGCAATGATTAAATCAAAATGATTAAATCATGTGATTTTTGTATAAAAAAATCATGATTTTTTATTTTTTTTTCATATATTTAAATATATTGAGTGGAAGTCTATAATTTATATTGACGTATTGTTATTCATGGTTTAGTATAAATGTACTATGAATGACAAATTGGTATATAAACTTGTTGCCTTTAGTGTGTATTAGGTTCCAATAAAATGAATGTTTTTGGTACAGAGGCATCAAGTGTGCAATACATTGTACGTAGCTAGCAGCTTAGCTAATTCTTATAAGGCTATAAGTAGTCTTTAACTATTTGTTATATATTGATTACAATATACAATTTAAATGTGTTACCTAGCTTATACAGGGTGGGGCAGAACTGATTGAACAGTTTTGAGGCAAAATAAAAGAGTAATGGAGGTACATAAAAAAGAAAGTTTATTTTCCAAAAGATCAGCATAACATACCATTTAATATGCTTATGTTTTGAAAACAATATCATGAAGATGGGGTTTGTTAGATGCATCACACTGTTGGAGTCGTTCTTGGAAGTTTTCTACAGCAGGTTCACACATATGGCGAGGTATGGCCATAACCTCTGCTACAATAATCCATCCCCTTAGCTGTGGTAGGGTGTGAGGGCAACTTCTAAACACCCTTTCTTTTAGATGTCCCCAAAGAAAGAAATCGCAAATGCTCACATCAAGTGACCTTGCAGGCCACTGTAAATCACCCCTCAGAGTCTGGGAACATGCATTTCAAAACATAGAGTGACATTTGGGCTGTGTGAGCTGTAGCCCCATCCTGCTGGAACCACACGTCTCCCAATGCTTAATTTTCAACAATGTTTTCCATCATGGGTTGCAAGAAATTTTGCAACATTGCAGCATAGCAATCGGAATTCACTGTCACGGTTACTCCCTCCTCTGAGAACAACTCCAACAGTGTGTTGCAGCTAACAGCCCCCATCTTCAAGCTATGAATTTTCAAAACATAAGTATTCTAAATGGTATGTTATGCTAACCTCTAGGAAAATAAACTATCTTCTTTATTTACCTCCATTACTCTTTTAAGTACCTATTCTAAATGGTATTAATTCAAATTCGGTCCACCACGCCCCACGGCCAGTGTAGCTGTCAGCTGACTTTCTTCAGAAGTGCAAAAGCTTTTGCCGGTGAAGGTGTTTTACGATCGGTCTGTAAAGAAGCGTTGATCGGTTCAAAATGACATAAGAACAGGTTCTTTTGAATAACCTATGGATTGCCACCATGGTGAGCCGCGACTGAATTTTTCGAGCTGTGGTTTTATGGATTTGCTAGCCGTGATTCCATTTCACCGAGCCATGAATTCCATATCTTAGCCATGAAAAGCCATTTACAAGGTGCGAATTTATTTACAAAGTCCATGCACATGTTACTCCCAAATCTCTAATTTTACCCTAAAACAGTCAAACGGCAACAATGAAAATTGTCTTTACTGTAAGTTACCACTTTGACTTGACCGCAACTATGCGCAATCTTCAACAAAACGTTTAGTTGTTTTGTATACATTACGATGTTTCCTTTTTTTCTCCCAGACATTTTGGCTGTAACGGTAAAGCAATGCGGATTGCAGAAGTTGAAAATTTTATGAAATGACATGTTTGTGAACGTGAAGTGCAAACCATAATTTTTCAATCAAACAATAATTTATGACATTCAAGCCGCAAGATTTCATACCTACTGAAATTATGATATTAGAGCCGCGATATTTCAGACAAAAATAGGACTTTTCCAGCCCTGGCTGGGATCACTCATGTCGGAAGAGTTCAACTTGCTTACTTGCCCAATAAACAAAAACAAACAACAAATTAACAAAGAGGGAATAAATAAAAGGGAAGAAGAAACAAAGAAGAAAAAAAGTAAAAAAAGGAAAAAATAGAACGAAAAAAAAATAATAATAAAATAAATAAAAATTCAAAATTCAAAGCAGACTGGCAAACCTCAGAGGCCAGGAGGGAGAGAGCCAGTTGCGTCTGAATGAATTTATTGTAGGTTTGTGCAAGGGATTACAACTAAATCTGAATATCTATAGCTTCAAATTTCGCCGGTTATTTCAAGGAACGAAAATTACACACGTGCTTTTGCCATGAACGCAACTGACTTTCTCCAGTTAAAATGAAGCAGAAGTATACCTCGTCGATCTCATCGCTAAATTTAAAATTCTTGTACTTGAATACTTGATCCGCACTTACAAATAAATTGAACTCAAGCGCAAAAAACTAACAACGGAACTTTATGCCAGTAATGTCATCGACAAACCACTTTTTTGAGACAATAATTACTGGCCGTTGCTATGTGTAATTAGTTACTGGCAGGGTGGCCCAGTGGTTAAAGTTAAAGTACTAAGATTGTCGCAGAGAGGCGCGGGTTCGATCCCAGCTCTCTGCGCCAGTTTCTGGTCAGAATCGGCGAGGAGGCTGGGCGGTTAAGGCTCTGGCCGAGAGGCTTCAAACAGGCTCGGCTCTTCCGTAAGCGTTTCTTCACTAATAAGGATAGACTTTACTCCACTCGCAAATGAGATGGCGATATGGATTTTTCCATACTTACCCAGCTATTTATTTATAAGCGTCGACCAGTAACAAAAAAAATGTAAACTTTGTATTAAAAGAGTTTTAATGAGAGGAAATTTCAAGAAACTTTGAATATTATTGTTCATCAAGTCTGCGACTTTCACACTTTTTTTCGAGATATAAACGGGTTGTAATTTTTATTGTCAATTGAATGGTATATTCGGCATTCTTTGATCAGCTTCCTTGTTATAGAATTTTCTACCAAAAAATATTTATGATCGAGTCTGCTGATACGCGGAGGGAAAATCCCGCATACTAGCTGCTCAAATGGAGACGTTGTGCAATGTTTGAGGGGAAAGAGACATCGTAAATTACTCCAACTGTCAGTTCACGAGGGGTGGCATGGTGCCGGGAACTCAATAAGGGGCGAAGAATAATACGTGGCCAGTGGTCGGCCTAGTCCAATTAGTTATAGCCGACCGCTGGCCATTCCTCGGCCACCTGAAAGCGACCAGTTGCCGCGAAGAAGGGTCTGGCTAGGATATCATATTACAAAGAGTACAAGCTCGAGGGTAGCGACTGGCCGAGCTTTGGGCAGATCAAGGATTTTACACGATGGTCGCGAAAACCTCGCTCTCAGACTTCGCTGCATTTTGACTACAAGCCTTAAGGCTTGTAGTCAAAATGCAGCGAAGTCTGAGAGCGAGGTTTTCGCGACCATCGTGTAAAATCCTTGATCTGCCCAAAGCTCGGCCAGTCGCTACCCTCGAGCTTGTACTCTTTGTAATATGATATCCTAGCCAGACCCTTCTTCGCGGCAACTGGTCGCTTTCAGGTGGCCGAGGAATGGCCAACGGTCGGCTATAACTAATTGGACTAGGCCGACCACTGGCCACGTATTATTCTTCGCCCCTCATTGACTTCGCCTTTACCATGCCACCCGTCGTGAACTGACAGTTGAGTAATTTACGACGTCTCTTTCCCCTCAAACATTGCACAACGTCTCCATTTGAGCAGCTAGTATGCGGGATTTTCCCTCCGCGTATCAGCAGACTCGATCATAAATATTTTTTGGTGGAAAATATCTATAACAAGGAAGCTGATCAAGGAATGCCGAATATACCATTCAATTGACAATAAAAATTACAACCCGTTTATATATCGAAAAAAGTGTAGAAGTCGCAGACATGATGAACAATAATATTCAAAGTTTCTTGAAATTTCCTCTCATTAAAACTCTTTTAATACAAAGTTTACATATTTTTTATTACTGGTCGACGCTTATAAATAAATAGCTGGGTAAGTATGGAAAAATTCATATCGCCATCTCATTTGCGAGTGGAGTAAAGTCTATCCTAATTAGTGAAGAAACGCATAGGGAAGAGCCGAGCCTGTTCGAAGCCTCTCGGTTTTCAATCAGGACCTTAAGCAAAGCAGAATTATACCAGTGAGTTGCGAGTTCATGACCGCAAAATGCTGCCTGCGATTTGGAAATGTTCTGCGATGTTAAAAATCGGCGACAAACCTACGGTCTACTAAACGCTGAAATCGCTATTATTTTTATATTATAACTGTAAGTACGTTAGACTTATAAAAAAATCTTGATCTGTCATGCGCTGCAAACAACATTTTCGAAAATTATGTAAAACAATCAGCTTTTTATTGACAGTTTGAGATGTCTCTAGGCGAATAAACGAACTCAACATAAAGAAAAATCGCACAGAAGAATGACGTCTCGGACAAATTTTGCGGCCGGACTTACCGTAAATTCGTTTAACATAACATAGTGATCTCGGCGCTGAAGTGTAGGCCTGATGTGGCCTGTAGCCGATTCTTTTTCTTTTCGTGCCTTGTTCACAGAAGATCTAAAATCGTGTCATTTGACCGGATCTTTTCATGACTGACGATAGTTTGAAGTAGCTTCTCATGAAACAAACCATTTTCCACAACACAGGTTTCACCATCAACATAGATACTCCGCCTGCACAAGCTACACAGGACACAATTAAACAAAATCTCAAAACAATCCACACTACAATTACAGAAAACTATCTTGCAACCCTCCCTCACAATAAAATTTTAAACATGCCTGCACCACAGATTCACCCATTTGAAATAAA